TTGGGTCACACCCGGCAATGCACAGGGGCTACTCCTGGCTCTTCACTCAGAAATTACTCCTGGCGGTGCTCGGGGGACCATATGGGGTGCTGGGAATCGAACCCAGGTCAGCAGCATGCAAGGCAAATGCCCCACCTGCTGTGCTATTGCAGGGCGAGTTTTAAACACATTTCTTGCTCCCATGGCATGAGCCTGCGGGGCTGTGACTGGGGCCCATGGAGTCCCCAGAGCAACTACAGCTGCATCTCAGAGCAGGACTCCTCGGTCTCCACCTCAGGCCCGAACTCAGGGAGTCAGGGAAGTCCCCGGGGAAGCCATGGGACTTTTGTCACAGAACGACCAGGGCCCCACTGACCCTGCCAGCAGCCTCTCAAAGGAGAAGGAGCTGTTCCATTAAACAGCTGATGGCAGATGGAAGATGGTACATTACTGAAAAATGGGCACTTATGAAGAGGAAGGAAGGGACTTGTGTTGATGTCAAGCCACCCTGAGGAACCCTCCAGGGCAAGGCACGGCGGCACCACTTTCAAACATGACAGCCTGTGTGACCACGATGGCCGGACATGAATTCCTGCACAACTGAGCCTCTTACCTTTGAGCTCAGCCCCACACAGACCGCCAGGCCCACAGAAGCTGCCTCCAAACATACACACCCCACAAAGGTGAGCACACTCCACGTCTCTGCACGACACACATGAGGGCCATCTCCTTTCCTCCATGGGATCACTGTCCTGTCCCCAATATGGGGTCACAGCCCCGTCCACAGGACAGAGTGGGGCAGCCTCTTTTTACGTGTTGAAAGGACCCCTCTACCCGCCCCTCACCACTGCAGCCACACCCACACCCACACCCACACCCACCCACACACGTGTGCACACACATACACACATGCATGTGCACGCTCACATACACACACGCACACATATGCGCACACACACAAACACATACACAGTGCTAGCCTCTCATTCGCCTGTCAGCAAGTCTGCTGTTTAGAACAAACTATCTCCAGTAAGAGAACTTTGGCATCTGCCCAGTGCCAGTCCACGATGAGCATTTGGTAAACAAGGTAGAAAAGCCAAGCAGACAGGTGTGGTCAGGACATGAGTAAGAAGCTTGGATGTGAGAGGGGGCTTGCGCTGTCCAGGGATCAGATGCCCCCTCTGTGGCCTCACAGCCTGCACGACAAAGCGTTGTCTCTGAGTGCCCCTGGTCCTGCCACGTCTTCCAAGATTGCAGAAAGAGGATCAAATGCAAGGAAATCCTATTTCTCTTGGGGTTAAATGATGACAGTATGGATGCTTTGTGGGTTTAAATAGGCCATAACTCTGCTGTCCTTTCAACAGAGAAGAACATGCCAGGAGACAAGCCCACGGAAGTCATCAATGTGCACCTGAGGCCAGAGGAGGCAAAATGGACCCACAGCGGGCTGTGGACTGGAGGTGGGGGAAGCACATTCCTGGGCCGTAGCTTCCCACATGAGCATGCTCTGGTGGGCACAGTGCCTAGCAGTGGACAGAGCAGTCCCAGCAACACACACTGTTGGCTGCCAGTCCCAGGTGGTGCATCGTGCTGGGGACACTCCCAACCACAACCCTCTGCACTGCTCCTGGGGGCTCTTTCCCAGCCTGAAAACAGGACCTTTCTGACTTCCCAGTCCCGAAAGCCTGAGCACCAAAAGTGACTCAAAACTGCCATATTAACAGGTGCTAGAAAGCCGGAAGCACAGTTCAGAGGACAAATGCGGGGTCAGGGGAACTGCTAGGTCAGAGCAGGGGATCAGGGGTGGGGTGGAGAGGAGCAGGGAAGCAGGGAGCAGGGGTAAAAAGAAGTAGGGGTGCAGATGAGCATGGGAGCAGAGGAGGGTGCAGGGGCATAGAACAGCAAGGGTTCGGGGGAGCAGGGGCAAGGGTACAGGGGAGCAGGGGTTAGGGGTGCAGTGTGCAGGGGAGCAGGGTCCAGGGGAGTAGGGGGGTAGGGGTGCAGAGGGGCAGGGGTGCAGGTGAGCAGGGATGCAGGGATGCAGGGGGCAGGGGTGCAGAGGGCAAGGATGCCGGGAAGCAGGGTAGCAGAGGAGAGGGGTACAGTGGAGCAGGTGAGCGGTGGAACTGAAGCAGGGGAACAGGGTGCAGGGGTGCAGAGAAGTTGGGTGGAGGGGTTCAGAGGGCTCACAGGGTCGTGAGGATGACTTGTTTCCCAGGGGCTGCATTGGATCCTCTGGGTGGGAATGGTGCAGGATGAGGCACAGTGCTGACGCAGCCACCACCAGCCACGGGCACTTCCTGTCTGATCGATGCTTCTCCTTATGGTGTTTGTGGGCGGCAGAAGCCCCTCCTGTGCTCTTTGCCAGCCCCGAGTGAGGAACAGTGACCCCCTACTCAGAGAGGACACTGCAGGCCAGGGCAGGCTCCTGACCCAGCAGAGTCTGCAGCCTCCTGCCCATGGGGCCTGAACCAGGACATACACAGCAGGGGCTGGGTTGGACTCAGGCTTCACAGCCGCCCTCCCAGGGAAGGATGTGAGGACTGAGCACTGGCCTGTGGACAAGCTCCTGTCCATGCCCTACTCTGCGGTGACACCTCGAAGCCCCTGCCCAGGGCCGTGGACAGGGAACAAGACTCTCCTTCCTTCCATGAACACAGCAGGGACAGGCAGGCCTGGGTTTTCATGGAACAGACCCCTCAGCACCCAGAGTTCACAGTCAGAATTCATCAGACACATAGGCTGTTTCTGCAAGTCTCCCACAGGGCTCTGTGCTCTTGGTCCTGACAACCCCCTGTAGACTCAGTGGAGGGAGATGCTGCACACAGACCCCAAGGCCCAGCAGCCACCCCCAGCGAGCTCAAAGCCTTCTCCACGTGGGGCAGAGGCCAGGAGAAAAGCAACTGCAGCCACATCCAGTCAGCACAGTCCTTGGGGCCTCCCAGGAACCAGTTAGGAGGAAGTATGTCTGTAGGGAAGAGTGGGAAGGCCAGCAGGAGCTGCTGAGGGACGTTGGGAGAGCTCGGTGCCCAGCACCCACATGTGTCCACTTCTACACTGTGACTTGCACTCCGACTCTGCGAGGCTGGTGGAAAACGAAGTTCCATCCATGATCCACTCAGAAAGAAGAGAATGCCACTCAAATGATCACAGAAATGGAAAAACACCCAAACGGCCAAGAATTGTGTAATTTGGATATCATGCCAGAGAGCATGTTAGGGGTGAGGTAGATGACAACGCACACGTCACTGAGCACCGGCCTGATGCAGACGGTGTTGCCACTTCCCCTCTGCCCCATCCCTGTGGCAGGTGATGAAGAGCAGGAGTACACGCCAGCATGGGGGCACCGACTCTGCGCAGCAGGAGGCAGCTTCCCGGAGAACACCAGCACGGAAAACACCTGCTCTGTCCAGCACCCGCCCTGGAGGGGCAGTCGGAGCCAGGACAAACTGCTGGCCTCACGCACTCGACTCGGAGGGTGAGGAAGGAGCCTGGAAGAAGTGATACTGGCAAATACAGCCAATTCCGGCCAGGGATGCTGTGGCCATTAGTGGGGCTTTGAAAAAGGATTACTGTGATTATTTTTTGGCAGCCTGGAGCCTTTCATCTTTATGAGATGATAGCAATGTTTTAAAAGGATGATCATAGCATTGTGTGAGGATAATAGGAATAATCCTTTATCCTGTATAATGCGCGAGGACTTTAAAAATACCTTCCTATAAAATGTAAGGCTTAATCCTAACAGCGATCCTTTAAGGTGTACGAAGTAACTATTAGTTGTCACATTTTGGAGTTAGGAAAACAGAGGCCTGAGGTTTCCAGCTGTTACTGGCCCAGCCCCTTCAGGACCTTGTGCACCAACGTCTAGTCTAACTTCCGTAGATCAATCATGACTGCTACCTGAATTTGGAGGGGGCTATCAGGAGAGGTTTGAGGATGTGTGCATGTGAGAATGAGAATGTGCAGTGTTTGTGACCGCATGTGTGTGTGGTGAGCGTATAAATGTGTTTCATATGAGTAAGAGTGAGTGCATGAGTGAGTATGATGGTGTGTGAGTGCAGGAGTGAGTGAGTGCATAAGTGAGTGTGAGAGTGAAGTGTCTGTGTGTATGAGGATATTTGAACGCACGTGTGTGAGTGAAGTGTCTGTGTGATTGTGATGGCGTAAGTGTGAGGGTGTATGAGTGCATGAATGAGTGACTGTGAAGGGTATGAGGATGCATGAGTTAGTGTGAGTGAAGTATCGGTGTAAGGATTTTAGTGTGTGAGTACATGAGAGAATGAGAGTAGTCAAGTGTCTGTGTTTACGAGGGTGTGTGAGTGCATGTGTATGAGTGAAGTGTCTGTGTGACTGTGACGGTGTGAGAGTGAGGGTGTGTGAGTGCACGAGTGAGCAAGCATCTGTGAGTGTGTCTGTCTGTGGGAGTACGGTCATAGCACCAGCAGATGCTCTGGTGCGCAGGTGCACTGTCATGCTTCCCCACGCCTCAAGCCACACTGCACTACAGTTGTGGACCATTGTTGCAGCTGATCAACTAACTCCAGGCTTCTCTCTGAGGACCTTGACGTGCACACAAACACTGTGCTGCATAGCCACGTCCGACCTGTTTCTCCCCTCTGAAGACTGCTGAGCTTCCACTGCTGCTTGTCTCAGTGAGTTATGATAGCACATTTCATGGTTGTAGAAGCATACGGAACCAACATTTTCATTACGGCTTCATTTCAGGCAGTGCATCAACTCAGCCTTCTCTTCTGCTGCCTCGGGGGAAGCCACAGGGAACCAGCAGTCCCCTTGGCATGGGCACTGTCCTCTCATGGCCCTTCCACTCCCTCCTGAGCCGCACCCTGGTGCAGCCAGGCCCCCAAGCAAGGCAGAGCCGTGGACACATCTGCTTGCTCCACTCAGAGGACACACACAGCATCTTGAATCCCACCTGATGACCAGGAGCCATCTTGGCAAGAGACAAGTTCAGGCTGATGGTCAGTTCACTGAAAGCCAACTCCCACCCCTCCCACACTTACCTCCAGAAAATGCTCTGCCTGCTGCTCTCGATCCAGTTTCCTCGAAGTGGTTGTGATCAGACCTGTGTGGACAGGAGAGCAGTGGACTTTTAAGTGTCTGGGGCAAGAACCGGCTGGAAAAGGGCAGCAAAGGCAAGGGGACCCACCATGGCAGGGCCCTCACGAGCACACTGAGTTTTTTCAGCAAGAAAAAGCGTACAAAGGAGACAGGGCACATGCCTCCTTACTGCTTGCCACAGACTCTGCTCACACGGGGTGTGGAACTCACTCACCCCAGAACAATTGTTTTTCCAGCATCGAGGAATTCCAATGGTTCATTTGCATGTGACTAAAATGTTGCAGTGGGTGCCTCATTAAAAATTTTAGAGTTCTTGAACAATTACTAGGTTACGGATTTTGATTAGATTCAGGCTATATGAAACAGTACTTTCTTTCATACACATAGAATTTTTTTGGTTACACTCGTCCATAATCTACTTACACACACAATTATTTCAAACTTAGTAACTCTTATCACTTTGTTTCATGTGCTTAGATCTTTACACAAAATAAGTTCCACATGGGGAATCTCTTTCCTCAGAACGGTATTTCCCAGGACTGACCCATCCCCTTGCGAGGCAGCCTTCTGGCTGCACCCACTTGTCTTTTTTGCAGCCTTGGTCATAAGCGCCATTCCTGTCACATGGCAATCAGGTCAGACTAATGTCCCAGCTATGGATTCTCCAAGAACCCATGACACAAGGCCCTGGCTGGGGCTGACAGGGAGGGTGCAGTGAGACAGTGCACAAGTCCGTGTGGGTGGGAATCTGTGTGCACGGACCCCAGGGCAGAGAGTGCCAAGGTCCACAGCTCCCACAGCCTTGAGAGAAGCCCCTGGGGCCAGTGGCCCAGCAGAAGCCAGTCTCTGGACAGGAAACCTCATCTCCCATGCCGCAGCCACCTTCTCCCCTGCTGGACTGCCTGGCTGGAGCTGCTCCTTCCCGGCCTGCAATACTGGTGAGCCCCAGCACTGGCACCTTTGGTCTCTGCACATGGCTGAGCCCCAACCCTCCGCTCTGAAGGGCATGTGCTCTGGCCCCTGGGGTGTCTCCATAGTCCTAGGTCTACTCTAGATGCATACCATTAACCAGGTAATAAGAATAAGCTGGTTCAGACTTTCCTAAGGCTGAGCACTGGAGGAGGCAGGCATCTAAAAATGGAGTGAAGGAACCGTTAATGGGCTTGCTCGGGAATCAGGCGGGGAGAGGGTGAGGTTTGAAATTCGAGTGAAGGAACCAGTGTGCTTGGTAGGGAACCCAGCATGGAGGGGGTGAGGTTTCTCCCTGGGACTCTGATGCAAACATGAGGGGGCAGGACCTCTGGACCAGTCACAGTAGGGGACGGTTGGCATTGGAAAGCAAACCTTGTCAGAAAGCCAGGCCTGGGTCTTCTTCCTTCTGTGGAAGTGTCCCTGGGGAGCTGGCCCAGAGAAGGGCTCCAAGGCCACTCCCCTGGCAGCTGCTGCCCCTGGTGCTGCAGAGGGCGTGGGCAGCCCCCATGCTGCAGAGCACTGAGCACAAGAGGTTGACACTGGTTTGAAGGAACCAAACCTGAGATGAATCAGAGGTGAGCGTTGGGATGTGGTTTGCTCTAATAACAGATGAGAGCCTTTGGCTTAGGAGGGGACCGTGGTCCTCAGGAAAGGGCAAGAATCATGGCGCCAGCGGCAGACAGAGGGGCCCTCAGTGACAGCCAGAGCAAAGAGGTTGGAGCCAGCCTCCCGCCTCTCTGCCTGGGCAGCCTGGAGCTCCTCCGCCTGTCCGTCTGACCACCCCTGTTCCCAGAGAGGTGGGCAGCACTGATTGACCAGCCCTGTGCCCATTCTTTCTTTCTATCCCATGCCTGAGTGCAGCCCCTCCCTAGGGCAGCTGGAGCCTGTCTGTATCGCAGCAGGCTCCAGCAGCTCAAGGGCTGGGCTCAGGAAACTAGGCAGGTGCTGGGGTATCAGGCCGGTACATCAGGGCTCATCGCAGCACTGAGGGCTCCAGGTGGCTGAAGAGCCCCTTTCCTTAGCGGGGCACATGCTCCACAAGGAGAAGCCTCATTCACATGTGTTTCTGGGACTCAACAGAGGCTGGACAAACTCAGGAGTCATGCCTGCAGCTGAGTAACAACAGAGAGGAGGTGACACGGTACCAAAGCGGGAATCGCAGCTGTGTGTTCTGAGGGCACTGAGGCCACCAGGTGACCCAGCAGGCTCTGAGATGAGGAGGAACCCTCCCCCCGCCCCAAGGTGTTCGGCCTGGGGCCTACCTTTGTCAGCAGCTACTTCAAGTATGGGAACTGCACAGATTTGAAGAATTATCTTCTAGTTCTATTAAAAGCACAAAAATGCTATTTCTAATGGAAATATTTCATTTCCTATTTCCTATTTCCAAAGGGAACACTATCGTCTCTAGATTGGTCAGTTCCTACCTGAATGAAAACATACGAACCCAGCCCCGAGTATGGAGGACCAGTGGAGCCCTTTGTTCTGGCCACCCACACAACCCACGGGCAAAGGGACTGTTTCTGAGATACAGCGGACAGGAAAGTCTTGCACACATGCAGCATGGGCTGATGGCTCCAACACCATGCTCATGTTCACGGAAGCATCTGATGCCAACACCACTTGTTTGGGAGAGGTTTGCATGCTATCCAAGACAACACTTACTATATTTTTCAGTATCACATATTTCCCAGTTTTCAAAATTCAATCCTTCTGTCCTAAACTTATGTTCACATTAAAACCTCATTATTTCTTAATCCACATTTCTTGATTTCACTGTTTCTGCGACTGGTAGTTTACCTCTGTACACCTGAATAACTTTATAGGGTAGAAAGGGCTTGAGAATAAGAATAGTTAATGTACTGGAGAGAAACCGTTTGCAAAGCACTTAGAAAAAACCCATTTTGATATTCTAATAGCAAAGAACTGACATAACTCTGCACCAGAATCTATCCATGCAGGCCTCGTGCTTGATGGCACTGACCTTATGTGATTATTTCAGAGCAGTGGACACTGTTTCCTGTTTAGAATCTGCTTTTCAACAGCTGTAAAAATCCTCCTCAGTGAGAATATGAAAAATGGAATGTCATGGTCTTGCTCTCTGCTGGGAAAAAGTATCATCCCTTAGAGGAAATTTGTTCTTAATCATGCATCAACACAGTAGGTTGGTTTAAATATCTGAAACTGTTTCTGCTCAGTTTCTTTTTCTACACCAAAATGGCTTGCTGGAGAAGTTGGCCACTTCCTCAGGAGAGACATCATAGATATTTTTTCCCCTTCTCAGATATAAGTGGAACTGATTGAAACATTAGAATCCTTTGTGATTCCTTGGAAAGATTCTGCAATAGTTCAGAGAGGAGCTGCATGGGCCCTTTGATTTTTTGGTAGACAACTCTATTTCATATTTGGCTACTTTTCGTAGCTCATGTCCCTTACAGACTTTGCTTGCTCATTTTTAAGGAGGTCTCTCCCAGCCACCAGATTTCCCTGAACTGAACATCATCCAGGGAATATATTCCAAGAACTGAGAGTGATCTCCGCTCTTTCATACTTGGCACAGTCCCTGTCCTGGATGGGATCAGTGAACATGGGGGCTTGGGTCGAGTGGACTCCTGTTGATGCTGTGTCCGGGTCTGGAGGTGTGGGCAGTGTGCCAACATCACCCCTAGCAGGTGTGGTCCAGGTACATGGGGACGGTTACTCAGCATTATATTGTGGCCTATAAAAGGTCCCATGCTTTGGGGAAAATTCAAAATGGAATTATGTGCTGTGATAATTATTATTTGGGGTTTTAACATAAAATGTTACAATTTCACAGAGCCCCTTTCTTGTAGTGTGTGTCAGACTGGGCAGCCTGTGTGGATAATTGAGGTTAATGGCGGGGGGGGGGAGGGAGTGGCAGATTGCCAATACTAATGAGTTTTTTCCCTTGACTTTTCCTAATATGTATTTTATTTCTCTTTGGGCTTTACTTTTTGTTTAGCTAAACGATTTCATTTATTCCAGAATCCTTGTGTGAGCTGGGATCACTCATTTGTCAGAGAGGGTTCAGCCCATGTGTTATGCCTTCACATTAAAATGGGAAGGGGAGGTTTCCTGGACCCCGAGGCCAGTGCTCCTGCCAGTGGACATCAAATGGAAGGCCAGTCCAAGGTCATGGAGGGGCAGGAATCTGAATGAAGGTTGATAAATTGATTCTGGCAAAAGGTGACCAATAATTCAGGGCAGTTGTCTTTGCCCACCAGCCCATGGCTAGGTGCCCATGTGCAGTGTGGGGAGGCTGAGGCCACTGACCTCCTGTGTTGGTTATGCTGCCGTTCTGGACTGGACAGGGACTGCAGCTGCAGAGGTATGTGCTATGGAGTGTCTGCCACTTTTAGCCGAGGCTGAGGCTGCTGGAACTTCAGCTGCTGATCCAGAAAACAAAAACCAACTGGCAATTTGGAGAGTTGCTGAGAAAGAAGGGAAGCAGATATGGATTCTGGAGGATTGGTTCTGTGCGAGGGACGTGGAGGGTGGGCTGGACACTACTCCCCTGACCCTCAGGATCTTGTGTAGCCTGGCCCTCCCTCATGTGGGCATCGCCTTCCCTCCCTCTTCCGTGCCGGGGGCCATGGTGAGAGGAAGAAGCATGTGAGGGCAGTGAGTTTCTGCTTGCAAACTGCCAACTGGGGCAGTGCGGGCAGGACAGCTGGTGCCACACAAGGGTCTGCCTCTAATGACCTCTGTCCTGGTGCCCAGCTAGCTGATCTAGTCTTTCCATGGCCGGAGAGACGCATTACCATAGGGCCAGACCATCACAGTGTCTCTCTGCCAAGGCCTCCATGCTGACAGGGCTGGGGCAGCAACACACTCTCCCCCTCCCCCACCCCCAGTTCACTCCTCTGTGACGTGGGACTGGAAGCAGCCCCTCCCACCTGCTCAGCCCACAGGGACGCTGCTCTGCTTGAACAACACGAGTTGGAGAGAAATGAGGCTGTGTGTATGTGACACTGAAACCCTGGAGGATGAGCACACCTGCAAGGGAGAGGCCGG